CTGAATTTCATGTTCATCAAATAATCCTGAAAAAAAAACATCATGGTTTCCACAAAAATATTAAGATTTATGATATCTGAAGGATCTTGTAACACTAAAGACTAGAGTAATGGCTACTATAAATTCTCCTTTGCCATCACAGGAATAAACAACATTTTAAAATATATAAAATATCGGAATGCTCAAACAGAAAGAGCAATTTTCCTTACAGTGTTTGACCAATCGGTTTCATACAGCTGTCTCTGTACATGAAAAAATTACCTAAAAATACATTTAATGATGCCTATTGTGATTTAATTGAGCTTACTTTATATAACATGATCGAATCCACTATTTTCTAGTAAGCACTGGGCAGATACATTTCATTTCATCTGTAGAGAGTAAGTAAACACAGGTTATAGATAGATCTAATCATATGAGCTCAGGATATCATGGTATACCTGTAATTAAGTTTTGAAATTACCCTTCAGAACTTTCGTTCGGTATTCTTGTAATTCCGCTCAACGGCCTCATATTTGCTTTCAGATTTATCCTGCGGTTTTCAAGGAGAGAGTGTGCAAACCGGTTTATAGCTCCCATCAACCTAACCACGACAAGCGTATCCCTTGGGCTGAGAAATCCATCCATATCATGAAGTTATCTCTGATTCTGTGATAAATAATAAAAAGTTCCCATGATATTACCAGGCTGTATAGTCTAAACTCCGCAAGGCTGAGGAATACAACCCCCTTTTCTCAACCCAATCATCCCTATTGATGGGGCTGTGTTTTTACTGTCTGGCCGAGGGAATTTAATGAAAGCATGGCTGAATTCATAAAACGCTGATCTGAATGTAGGGGCCGCAGATCCCATCTGTCTCTCATTCTGTCTCCTGCTCTCCAGAGCCAGGTCTGAAATGATGCTATCACATATCAGACACACAGGACACCTACGGCACTCTGATAAATATTTAAAATAAATACTGACAATTATAACATCATTTACACAATTTAAGGGATTTGACTGATCAGACTTTTAGTAGATTATCAAGACATCCCTATATCATGGTGTTTAAAAACGACTATTATGAGGTACTAGGAAACATAGATATATAATAGAATATATTGGTCAAAATATATAACACACCTATAAACTGTAAAAGTTTTACAGTAAAAAGCAGCACAGCCGAATCTCAAAAAAGCATATTCAAATACATACACAGACAGACAACTGTATGTAATATATATTTTATATGTATTTTTATAATACTTTTGAATATAAAAAAATGCTCATATAAATATTATGTAAATATATTATATAATGTGCAAGTTTTACAATAAAATATTGAGTGAGAACACAAATCGACCCTTCGTAGGGAGCTTGATTGACAGGCGATCTGACATCTTTCCGCGGTTGAAATAAAATACCTTCTAATGTTCATTCATGTTTATTTCGTGCTTTAACTAGTAAATATGAAAAGATGATCAGTTCACGTGCCACTTGAACAGAGGCAGTACAGCGATCTGTCACAACACAATACTATGCATTTTCGGAGAGTTGATTTTGTTCTGACTGCTATTTATAAGATCGTTTGCGACTGTCAAACGAGAAGCTCAGAGATTTCTGCATTATGGACTCAATGTATGTTTATTAACTTTATTTGGTAACCTTATTTATAACTGTATCTGTACAATTGAACATAATTTAATTACAGTAGGTTTGCATTTATTAAAAGATCGGGGTTTGTATTTCCTGTGTGCTTTCATTCATATTTGTCTGTTTTGTGAAAATGAGCATCTGTTGAATAAATCATTATCTGTCTGGTGTCTATAAGCAGCGCATACAGTATATTTTTACAAATTGTTTGCATTAATTAACAAACAAATCGTTAAATTAGTCATAACTATTTATTAATTTTATCTTCCCGTGTTTTCATCTAAACATATGTTTGATGCACTGTTAGATAACTATGTGTAAATGTAAAATATTAAAATATGTTGTGAAAATGTTGATGGAACAAACTGATGTATGTGCAGAATTGAGAAACAGATATTTATGAAGATCAATTGATGTGTCACAAGGCAAATGTATTTCAGTTCAAAAAAGTCAATGTAATACAAACATTTTCGAGAAATAAGCAATTTGTGCATTTACATAATTGGTAAAGGAAAAAGACATTGTGTAGCTAAGTGTACACACCATCAGTTCAAGTCAACTTTAATTTCGTGAACAGTACAGATTTATTTATTTCATTCATTCACCTGGCCCAAACATAAGTTTCAAATGCCACTTGCTCAATTAAAATTTAGTATAGGAATAATAGCAATATAGGTCTTAGTTGCATTTTAAGTGATATTATAAATCCTATAAACATATATAAAAAGTAATATTTAGATTTATATATATATAGGAGGCAATCACAGCCGCTGATATAGAGCCGATATTGCTCGAGTACGAGAGTGATATTGCGTTTATACAACAGTTTGATGGAACATGTGTGTAATTAAACAAGAAACAACGGAGTGCCTAATAAAACCCTCTTTTGTGTGGAACTACTTCCTTCCGCCACGGATTCAAAGCTCAAGTTGACAATTAAACATACGTCACTTTTAGAATTCGTATCAAGGGCATGTGCTGCTTCAGTTAGGTTATTAGTGAGAAATAATGAGGTTATAAGAGAGAAACAATGTGGCAAGACGTGCATCTGAATAAGAGAGAGAGAGAGAGACCGCGAAGCTAGACGTTTCTTCTTATATTAACTAATGTACTCTACGATTAGCTCAGTGAATAATAAAAAAAAAAACATGTAGCGATACCAGTACAATATTTCATGGTTCTCAAACAATCAGATTTGAAAACCAGAACGAACGAATATATATATATAAAAATACAACACATTCAAATGGGTCTATATCTCTTATACAGACATCATGTGGTCGGCTAAATTCTCTGCTATAAAGTCCTTGTGGTGTGCCACATCAAATAAAGTCCTCCACTGTTTGACACTACTGAGCTCTAGTGCGTTTTGTCATCTCATCTTCAAATGCACAGTGAAAATGAGGTGCGTGCCTAGTGGGGATCTTGGCATACGGCAGCGTAGTGTGAGCTCGATCCCCCGCTAGTTCACGGGCAAGTCACTTCCCTCAAGTTTCAATTAAGAAAACAAAAGAAAAGAGAACGAAATAAAGACAGAGCCATTCATCACACGGGAAAGCTCATAAAGAGCTTTAGTATGCCAACAACATATTGGCGGAAGAGACAAATGGTATCTTGTAAACACTAGGAGATTTGTTGAATGTTTGAGAAACCGTAGTATTTCAGCCTCAAATTACTGTCAAGGATAAATAATCTCTCCGTCTGTTGTAATCAGTGAGTGTTACACTCATAAAAGGTCATAAAGTTGGAGCTTGGGGGACACTGTGAGTAATGGTGCTTGTGATTTTCTTTCACTCTTTCTTCTTGACAATCCAGACGGTGCTGATAAAGGCTTTTACAATAATGACACAGGTGAAGTATGGTACTTATGAAGTTGAACCGAACTATTTTAAAACTGCTATCAGTAAAAAGTTCAGCAAAATGTGGTTTTCAAGTAGATGTCAAGGCCTGTTCACACGGAATCAGATGCCACACAGAAGCATAATATATATCAGAGCTGGGTTATTTTGAGAATGTGGAGAACTTGAATGGCGCACAACCCTGTATCACAGTTCCCACAAAAATATTAAGCAGTAAAAACTGTTTTCAACATGGATAATTACAAGAAACATTACTAATAATTGAGCACCAAATCAGCATATTAGAATGATTTCTGAAGGATCATGTGACATTGAAGACTGGAGTAACAGCTGCTAAAAATTAAGCTGTTATTTCGGCTGAAAAAGTTTTGGAGGAGCAAAATCATCAACCGAAAGAGTGGTATTTAATTAGCATTTCTCTGATTGACTGTGTCAGTGTCTATTTTGTGCAGATAATGTGGATGCCAGCAAAATAAACGTGAATGAACATTAATGTCACATTTATCTCAGGAAAGCCATTCAATGTCCATAAATTCATTAGTCAGCTAGAAAAAAATTACTCTAGAGAAGAGCATTTTACTAAATATATCCACTATATTACATATTCATATTTTTAATTTTACCTGTTGTCTTCATTATTTAATGTATATTTGAACAAATCTGTCACAAAAACTTTTTTTATTACAGCCACGTTTTAAATGTTTATATTTCAAAACCAAACTGAAGTAGAAACATAATTCTGAAATTAAAAAGTTGACATAAAAACTTCCTTATGTGTAACAAACACCATTGAATGCAGTTATACAGGAAAAATCAATCAACATCAACACAACAATAAACCAGACACTAAATGCACAAAAAAACCATGGGTATTTAAAATAAAATGTAATTATTCTTTTCACCACAAAACATGTAGTTTTCTATGTAAATTAGGCTTAATATATGCTGCATTTACAAAACTCTTGCGCCTGGCACTACTAACGCCACACTATTACTGCCCATGGAAAGCAGACGGTAAACCAAATTTAGAATAGCTGTTCCATTATAACCAGGAATATATCCAGACCAGTGAGGTGAGTGAGCCGAGTCAGGCACCTGGACCGCAGTAGTTGGGCAATACTGAACAGTCCCAGCAAAGTATGCCAGATCACATAGTGTGCGGCATTGCCCAACAACCTTATACTCAGAACCAGCCTGAAAGATGGTCGCATTTGCACGTTTATCTAATTTGCATAAATCCTTTAGTGAACCAGGCGCTAAAACAATGCAAACAGCGCATGCAAATTAAACAGCGCTATCAACGGCGCCATTCATTCTTTGTGAATCCTCCCAGCATTGTTGTATTTTAAAATCTTGTTTTCTAAGTTCTTCATGCCAGAAATTCAGACTTGGTACGCACTAGAATTTGGCTCTGTGGATAATGCGATGACTACAAGGGACAAATTCATTTCAGCCTGATTCGTTGGGTCTCCTCTTGGAGGGGACAGCAAAATTTCCCAAACTAACCTGAATAAGCCGGCCCTGTTCGGTCTGCAAAGTGCTGAGCTCCTGCCCGATGTTGCCCTGGCCTTGTCTCAGCGCGTTGTACTCCATCTTCAGCTGACTGGCATGGGCGGACAGCTTGGCCACCTCCTCAGCCAGTTTAACAAGCAGAGCCCGGTCTTGTCCTTTCACTGATTTCAGATCAGTGTCATGGTCGGTGAGCGAGTGCAGCAGTGAGGTCTGCACGCCCTCCAGACGCAGGAAGTTATTGTTGTAGTCGGGGCAGTTGGGATCAATGAAGATGTTGATGCGGGAGCCGTCGCCTCTCTCAATGGTTACCAGGGCATTACCCTCATCCTGGTTAGTGCTGATGAGTGGGGGGCCATCGGGGCCACTGGGCGCTTGGTAATGGTTCATCAGAAGGATGATCCCGGTTACTGTGACAGCCAGTAACACAGCAACAAAGAGCAGGATGGTGCATAGGAGATAGCTACAGCTCATCCTCTGTAGAAAAACAGAGAGAAAGAGACACATTAGCATACAGAAATAAAAAACAAGTCTGAAAAGATGCATTAAAATGACCAGCATGACATAGATGAAAAATTTTTTTTTTCATTTTAATCCTTTTCTACACAAAAAGTGTCTTAGAAAATTTAAATCAATATATTGTTTTCTGTGAGTGAGTAAACAAGATGATTTTCACATCATTCTGATGCAAAAACTCTAGACTTCAAGATCTGTTCTCAATAGTCCTGTGAACAAATATTCTGTATGTGTTTTATGGCCTTATTTCAGTGACTTTAAAATTTTAGTTTTTCACTAAGCACGCATAAACGTTGTTTTCTCAAAAACACAATCACATACATACATGCTGCTCACATATTATTGTAGCCCAGTTTGTGCTGATTATGGTGCTACTAAACTTAGTCATTAAAATGTTTATTAGCAACTGAAAAAAGCACAAATGTCAGGACATGTCAAAACTTCTCCAGGGCCCAAAACACCCTCAGACCCCAGAGGGTTAAATACAACTTCGTAAAACTGATGCATAAGTAATACACACCGATTAAACTTGACATACACCGATAACACAGATCCAAAAGTAGGTTCCCCAGCTTACAAATTTCTAAAAATCCCCATTGAGCATTAAACATGCATAGAGATGCTTCTTGAAAGTTTAATCTGCTATTATGTAATACCTGAAGACTCTTGAACGCATAAATTCAGGCTTTTCACAAAGGTGTTTATAAAAGATGGAAAATAAATTGTATTTGCTCAGTTGCCTAAGACCTAATCAAAACCTCATCCCTTGCTCCAGATAATTTAAGTCAGGAGGATAGTATTCATAGCACATGAATGCAACCTCAACCAGTAGGAAACTCAGGATTTTCTCTGAGCCCGAACTTTCAGAATTGCAGATGCTTGGATAAAAAATTGTGGCGAATGCAAACTGATATTGGAGGAATTACATTTTCATTTTGAGTGTGCCATTTAGTTTCCACAGAATGTATATTGAATATCTACTAAGCTAAAATACTACTAATTTAGCTGGTTTGAGTGGCATCTAAACTGCATTCTCTGTGCTTTTTATCATTCTAGTTCACCCACAGATAAAGCATCAATTACACATAATGTACATAATTTGCTCTTCATTATACACTAGAGATAACATATATTGTAAATATATGAAAATGCTCACATCATCATTATGACCTTTGGGACTTTAAATCAGTATACAGTTCTGTTCATAAATTTGCATACCCTTTGCAGAATATGCAAGATGTTAGTAATTTAAAATAAGAGGGATGATAAAAAATGCATCTTATTTTTTATTTACTACTGTCCCGAATAAGCCGTTTCACATAAATGTTTACAACTCATTAACTGAATTCACATAAACGAACCCATTCAAAAGTTCACATACCCTTGACTCTTAATACTGTGCTGGATGATCAACGACTGTTTTGATTTGTAAGGTGTTCATGAGTCCCTTGTTTGTCCTGAACTAGTCTCGCATAGCTAGACCTTCAGACTGACGGCAGAAGGTCTGGGAAACTTGGCCGCTTTGTATGGCCAAGGACCGCCCAAGAGGCCATATGACTGACAGGTAAAGCAACCAATCACATTTTGTTTTGTGCCATTTTGTGCCGTTGTGTCCCCACAACAACAGACTGGTGTGTAAAACCTATTTTAAAGAGTCTATGCACGAACTTTACATATTTCATATACTTTTGAAAATCCAGCTTATAGTTTTCTTTCTTCTTCCATGAGGGGGTTTGGCGACACGGCATCTTTGTTTCCTGGTGGAACGTTAAAGAAGACGACACAAACATCTCCCGGAAATCCAGTAGAATTCAACCAATCAGATGACGACTTCGAAACTCCTGAAGTGTTTCCCATTTTGTGTGCCGTATGCATCAGACGTTCAGCCAACAGTCCGTGGGCGTGACGTCTGAGGCTGAGACTAGTCCTGAAGAGTAAATCCTCCAGGTCCTGCACATTCCTTGGTTTTCTTGCATTCCTGCATATTGAACCCTTTCCAACAGTAATGCATGATTTTAAGACCCATTTCTCACAATGAGGACAACATCCACGATTATTACAAAAGGTGAAAACTTCACTGATGCTCAAGAAGGAAACATGACGCATTAAGAGCCAGGGGTGCAAACATTTGAACAGGTTGATGATGTGTACATTTTTCTCATTTTGTTAAAAGGTCATATTGTTGCCATTTAGTACTGACCTTCGGAAGCTGCATAAGATGTTTACATGTTTCCCAAAAGACAAAATATGCACAATTTACCTCGATCATCCAATAAAAACTAATAAATTAAATAAATTAATAAAAAAATAAAAATAAAAAATATATATATATATAAAAATAAATTAAAAAACACTGTATATTAGGGCTATGATTTGAGAAAGAAAAATTATTAATTATAATTATTTGATATGCTGATTAATTAAATCAAATTAACCACAAAAATTTAATATTAAATAAAAATAATAGAAATATGACCTTCTTTTTTTTTCTTTTTTTTTTTTTTTACAAATGTAGACATGTAAATCACTGAATAGACATTATAAAACATAGCTATACAAATTAATATATTGTTTATTTCCATGCTTTCCTCTTATTGTGCAATATAAATGTAGCATAAATCCAAAAGCATTGTACATTAGGAGGAGTGGCAATAGATAATTTGTGAACACTTTACACTGATTTCTGTGACTGCCCAGGGCTCGAGCGGTGGGCTGGAATATAAGCGACAAGATGAGCAGTGTTTCCTTTGAGGATCTAGCAAGGCAAATCCCCACAGGGCAAAAGACTAGAAACTACAGACATAAGCCTTACAGCTAAATATTACGGTTTGGTTAAGTGGCCAGAGTTGACAACTCTCTCATCTCCGGGAGTGTGTGCCAGCGTGCAGATGTGTGTGTGTGTGTGTGTGTGTGCGCATTCTGCAACAAATGCAGATATAACAAAAAATGAAGTGAAGAACATTTGATGGGAAACTGGGGAATGCCACGCAGGCACTGGAGAGGACTTGCTTATCATTTGCCATGTCTTTTTATTCAGGGGGAGCCTGCATCGCTCGCCCCGCTGTTATACAAGTGCCACTTCAATATTCCACTTGACAGCGGGTGTCGGTCCCTCGCGTGAGCTTCGAGTACATTTTGTATATTTATTTGTCACACTTTTACATATATGCCACAGTGACTCAATGCCCATGTGCCGTAGTGGCATTTATGATTGAAATTAAATCACTAACGCTCAGACTGAAGCAGCGCACAGCTGCAATAAGATATTTACAGGGATCAGCAGTAAGGAATATTTCTGGTTGGGTGAATTGTTCAGATTTCTATTTGCCAACATATACACTAGCTCCAGCACAGAAAATATTATAAATGTAAACATTTTATAAATAAAATATATATATTTTTTAGCTACAGTTTTAATTTTAAATGTATATATTCAAAAGTATACATTTAAATTTATTTATTTTTTTTGCTGGGGCCAGTGAATATATTGGCAAACAGAAATCTGAACAACTGGCCAGACCAGGTAAGCAGAAATATTTATTTACATTTATAATTTTTAAGTTTCAAAATTAAAATATTAAATGAATTATTTTATATTCATTTTTAAATTATTAATTAAGTAATTAATAATACATATTTAAAAAATATTGAAAAATATCAGTTTTCATATATTGTATAGTTTTTTTACGCATATTTTTTCCATCAAATTTGAAACTTGTTTTAAGAGAAAAGAAAAACAGCAATAAAAGAAAATTTGCAATAAAAACTAAATTAATTACAATTATTATAATTATTCAGAAAAACTAGACAGCAAAACAAACAAAAAAATATATGGCATTCATGGCAAAACAATAATGAAAGGTTTGTGATTTTCAAGCTATTCAAATCCATGAAAAAAAAATGTTAGCCAACTTAGTAATTTAACCTAGTTGACAAGTTTTAAATTCATTTAAAACTTTAAAAAGTGTAATTTTTTCCAAATGTCACAGAAAGTTTCTTTGGATAAAAGCATCTGCCAAATGTGTAAAAGTAAATGAGGTGGTCCAACATTTCCATGTGAAGTTAAATCACCAAGTGCTGTACACTCTCATATATGCAGACACACACCACAAATGCAATAAAAAGACACATACCCTCTGATATGTCGATTTAGCAGTCACTGCGGTGAATAACAGCCCCTGGTCTCAAGCAAAATTTCCAGTAAAACACATCTAAATTTACAATGACTGTGTCTGTCTCTGTCCCGAGTAATGGATATATTTTGCAGAGAATATTGTATTTCCATACTTGTGTGATAAAGTGTCTCTTTACAAGACACCTATGAACAAAAGAACAAGTGCATCCCGGTGAAGAGAGCTCTATTCCCGCACCGAGTGCAGGCATTGTCATATTTATTTTAAAGATAATTAATGTGCACAAAAGACTCCAGCCTACTTCATCATGCCGCAGCAGATGAGAGCGGTCTCAGATCAATTTGTTACAATAAAGCAACAATACCTGCTGTCTGCAGGAATTAGCCGGGCTTATATCTGACCCCTGCACTGCGATCGGAATGCATACAGCCGCGCAGCAACAAAAACACGGACAAGGCCTGGCTTTTCCCTCCAGAGCAGCCCTGCGAGAAATCTTTGCCGACACAATGAGGCAGGCAGCAAGCGCGCCTATTCTATGTACATCTGCACCATCAATCTTGCTCTTCTTCATTGTGATAGAACCTCTCTACTGGTGTTTAGGAGAAAAACCGAGGGCTCGTAAACATTCTGTCGCCGTTCCATGACCTGCATCTTAACTAGATGGCGGGCCCTGAACGTGGCCGTCTTCGTGACCGAAATGTCTACGCACCTTTACTTCCCTCTCACAGTCTAGTGGGCAGTGGGTAGTCAGATGCCCCCTGAACAGACACAGGTTGAGATTAGAGGGCCACGCTTAGCTGAGCACAGACAATATTTGATAAGGGCTTT